GTTTACAAGACATCCAATCTCTCCACATCTTCACCGGCATTCTTTTGCTGCCCTGTTTAACTTTTATATTACAGTTGGGGTGACATGAGATCTCATTGCTGTTCTGATTTGCATCTTTCCAATACCTAGCAGTTTCGAGCATTTTTTCCATGTGTTTGCTCACTTAACACTCCTATTTATATTTGATAGCATTTTAGCTTCCATTAATAGAGGGCTATAATATGATCTGAGTGTATTTTGTACCGGTTTCATACCATGTCATGTTGTTGTTGTTGTTGTTAAGTGCTGTTGAGTCGCAGGCGACTTCATAGCAACCCTATGAAGGAGAGTCCTCAACGCTGTGTGTCTCTCATCCTCTCTCCAGGTTCATAGGGTTTCCGGAGGCAAGCTATTACGGAAGTGGATGTCACTCTTCCTTCCAAACTGTGTCATAGATAGCATAATAATTTTGCTTTCTTGTTTTAAAATAAGCTCTGAAAAACATCCAAGTTATTTAGAAAGCACATGAGATAGTAGAGATTTTGGAGACCATATTATAAAGAGTGAATAAAAGAAAGTTGTGAAGCAGTCATGTCATATGAACCAGACTTCTTCCATAATTTGAGAATGTATTCTAGGACTGAAAAATGGAATTCAGGCCACTTTCAGAAATAACTTTCCAGAAGTTGACTTGTCCATAAATGGAATGAACTGCCTTGACCTTTTCACCCCTGGAAGTATTCAAACCGGAGCTGGGTAGACCTGCCAAGAATATTGTGCATTGATGTGTAGTCACAATTATTTCAAAAAAGGTTGTCAAGGCAAAGAATTCTGCTTTAATTTTCTCTCTCCGTGTCACCCTCCCTCCCCCCACTAATGTATACATTATTTGCTCTTTATTCATATTAATGACTTAGAAATGTCTTTGACAAAAAATTGTGTTGCTTTTACATCATTTTAATAAAATAATGATACTTTTCGCTTATGCAGCACTTTTCATCCAAGGATTTCAAAGTGCTTTACAAACATGCACTAATTAAGCCTCCCAAACAGCAGAGGTAGGTGGTTTTCTTCCCTTTCTCCAGGAGTGTCCACTCTGGCACAAAAATGTGCTAAGAGCCTGAGAATGCCTAGGAATCCTTACTGGCTGCCATTGCCTTGTATGTAGTGTGCTGCATGCAAGCACTTCGCTACATGTCAGGATTTCCCTTCATGGATCACCTCAAGGTTATAAATGCCATTGAGACTTTATTAGAAGCCTTATCAACATTCAAAATAATCTGATCTTCTTGAATGCAAAGTAGAGTTCTAAATTTGTTCACAAATAAATTCTAGATGTGTTTATATATATATATATATATATAAAATCTGACCTCTTTCTAGGTACCTAGAAGTAATTGTTCTTAGAAATAAAACCTAGTAAACTGATTTGTTGGCCTTACCTATCTTAGATATCTTTTTACAATAAGTGGTAATCCTTTTTATTTGGACTAGAATTTTGTATTTTCAAGAAGACATTAACTAAGTTTTAGTATTTTTGTAATTCAAAGAACCAAAAATACAAGGATAAAGTTTAAATGACACCACAAATTACCCTCTTACATTTTTTTTAAGGAATACAGTAATATCCTAGTTGAGACATACAGCTTTTCACTTTTGTTAAGGTTCACATACAGAGACACAGTACAGATATGGGATAAATTCTGATAAAAATAACGAAATATACAAATGCTTATATATAAAGCAGTGGCCATTTGGATTTCAGGATCCCTACCTGGGACTGTGATAGTGTTGATGTACATCCAGACTCATTGGATCAAGATAGCAACAATTTTTCCTGTGATTCCATTAGGACCTAACAATGCCGACCCAAAGGCCAAGCCTTTCTAGCAGTTCGAATCCACTGCTGGCTCCATGGGAGAAAGATGGGCAGTCTCCTCCTGTGTGATTTACAGCTTCAGAAACTCCTTGAAGAGTCAGTTTTGACTGAACAACCATGAGATTTAGATATCTTCTTCTATAAAAAGTTACATGGAGAATCTATATGCATTTATTTAAAGGAATATTTCTCTCAGGCTCTCTGGGTTTTTTAAAACAAACTATACATTAGCAAGGCTAGGACCTTACCCCAAAGGGGAAGAATAGATGTCCATGTATCTCAAAGGAATAACTATTTCCAGGTTTTAATATCCTGAAAAATACCATTTTCTTGCTATATTAATCAAAATGAGATATTGTGGCTAATGTGGAAAAGAAAGGTATTATTTTGTTTCACATTTACTTTTTTAAACTATATTAACTATATAGATATAGTTGATTTTTCATAATATCAAAGAACTTAGTACCTATTTCAGAGTGCCTTCCAGACTGGCCGTAATATTTCAGATACTCTTTTTTTGTTAAACAGCAAGTTCATCTGTGATACATAAAGGATAATTCCAGAAGTGTTCATTTTAGCAGCTGGTTTCAAACTTTCACCTTTGACCATTTTGACCATCTCCCCCTCCCCCCCCCACTAATATATATGGAAATTCAAAGACTTGAATCACGATCACACGTAAATCTCTGAGTGAACCTCTGGCTACATAAATAAATCTTTACTACAATAAAGACTAGTTGAGATCTGAGCCATATAGATACAGAAGCTCAGACATAATCAGTCTGCAAGGGTCTGTCTTGCCTTCACTGATGAGCGTGTGTTATTATTAACATGATTAGCATATTAAAACAACATCCATTTGTTCATTTATATTGAAATGTATAATTAATCAGGCAGATGGGATTATATCTAACCTTGTTTACTCTATTGGCAAGGAACTTGGGAAGAGATGATCAGATCTTTGCCTGTTGGTCATAGGAACTTTTAAAAATTCCTCAATTTGGATGTATGTATCTCAAACTCTAGTCCTCTTCCTTGTTTAGGAGAAGCCTAACAAAAAGCGCAGACCCTCCTGATGGTGTTAGAAGTCAGCATCTCCCCAGGGAATGTCTGAATTACCGTCATAGCCCCTGAGCAGCTACCTGTTTTCTGCCAATCTGGCAGACAGAGTCCCTTAGGATAATTTACATCTTTTAGCTAGAATTACGTTCATATTACTGTGAGGTCCTCTGAGAGTGGTTCTGTTTGAAGGCTTCTTTTGGATAGTTCAAGGATCCTTATTGGCATAATGTTTAAGTAATTGGCTGCTAAGCTGAAGGTCAGCAGTTCAAACCCATCCGCTGCTCCATGACCAAAAGAGATGGCAGTCTGTTTCTGTAAAGATTTCAGTCTTGAAAAATCCAATGAGGCTTTCTGTTCTGTCCAAATCACTTGAATAGGCAGTTTTTACAGATTCCTTCTCTAATCCACCAAATACTTCTGTTTCCAAGTTCTTGAAAGAGATCTCAATTTAGCCCCAGTTGTAGAATTGACAAAGAAGGACAAGATTAACTTGAGTTTGTAAGGCTGCTGCTGCTGCAGCTGTTCAGTCTACAACAGAGTGGCCTTACCCTCTCCAGTAAGGGGCCAGAGGCAGATTCTAAGTGGAAGGATAAGTAACAAAGGAGTTGTAATCCACAAGCTATAGAATAAGTTCTGGAATAATTAAAAGTTATTTACATACATGAGTATTTGATAGCTTTAACTAGCACTTGAGTAGAAAAAAAAATTCAACACCATCTTTACCTAACCGTTAAAACAATACAGATGTATCTTCACTCATAAATTTTCTAGACATTTTTAAAGGTACTTCTAGAATAATATTTCCTTACTATCTCATCATAACATTTACTCTGGAACAGAGAGAGGCTGCTTATTTCTCACTACTTCAAAATAAAATTCAGACTTAAAAATTTTAGCCTACTGTTTAAAATTACAGTCCATTTTTTTTTTCAAGATCACAAATGAAAACACTTTGATCTCAGAAATTTTGTTTCCCTTATTGGTAGATTCACAGAAACAGCATGCCCTAACTGTATTTTGTATATTTACAGATAGTCTTTCGTTTTATCTCTTTCCACACATAAACACACCACACAAATGATTTAAAACCTTAGCATTTTTATAGTTCCTTCCAAAGTGTACCAACTTAATCTCATTTTGAGTTGTGATAAGTTGGGGACAATATTATGTTAAGATTTTACTAGTAAAGAGAACAGTGCCTTTCCTTCCAGTGTAATATCAAATAATAAATCATTTAAATATATTTTTTCTCCCCCAGAGCTTACTTTTTTTTCCATTTAAATGGTTTTCTTTGATTAGAAATGAGCTCATTTGTATTCACTGCATGAGCTATGCATGAGCATGTTATGGTTGCCCTCTTTGCCTGGCAAGGTAAATATTTTATCATTTCGCTGAGTCTTGGGCAATTCTATTATCTCTAAGAAGTGCTTTGGAGAAGCATTTTTCTTTACAGCCCAAAGAATTTTAAAAAGTATAACATTTACAACTCTGATATCTTTAGACTCTTCATGTATTCCTACAATAAGATAAACCAGAATATAATGCTGTCTCAGTGTCATTTAAGGAAGGAGCCATGTACTATCTAAGATCTGCAAATGTAAGCTCTTCTTTAAGATTTTGGAGAAATCATTGTCTTTCTCTTTCAACCATAGGCTCAAGGTGTGATTCAGCCCTGGATGAGGATTTACTTCTGTAAATACTTGTTTAGCCCTATATGCATTCATATGAAAAAGGACAGTTTAAATTGGCACAACTAACTTTACTACAGTTTTAATGTTCTTATCTACCATTGTGTGACTTCATATTCTGCCATAAGAGCCATATAGAAATGATTTAAATGGAACTTGTCTGATCTGATTCTTTTGTCTTGAACAGCGCCATCTAATAGAGGTTTCCAACATCTTTATCACTCATTGTTAGAAGTAAATGTTTCATTAGACATTTTCTATGGCTATATTAACTTAAGAAAAGAAATAGTACAACAGCTAGGAAGAGAATCATGGATGTCTAAAGCTTTTATTCAACTTTCTTCATAAATGTATGATAAAAACTGAGTTGTAATGGCTTTTTCTCTTTTTAGCCTTGGAATGGATGGCTTTGGCCAGCCGGTTGGCATTCTTGGACGCCCTGCCACAGCGTATGGATTCCGCCCTGATGAACCTTATTACTACAGCTACGGATCACGATAAAGTCACCCCATTTCATGTGTACTCTCTGCCTACAAGAGATCTGTTTGGGTTGGGTTAACGTTGAACTTTGCCTAATAATGCATGTTGATATTATTGTGGGTCTGTGTTTCTTTTCTTTTTCCATGTTGTTAGCTTCAGATTGACTCCAATCCCTTCTGTCTTGTATTAAATGTGGTTGACGCTGATCTGCTCACTCAAACCACAACTTGATGCTAAATTACATTTCCCTTGAGACTGAAAAGTGAATGTTGAAAAGCTACTAGATTGGAAAACAAACACCATATTATGTATATTAAGTGACTAATTTAATTTCTATTAAAATGAAGCATAAAATACAAATGAATGCATAAAAATCATGTGTTTTTAGTTAATGCATTTCATTAGCAGTTAAAAGCTTCTATATGGTATGCATGAATGATGTGCTTTCTGCTTTTCTTCCTCATTGGTAAGCTTGAGTGTTTCCTATGCTATATCTTATTTTTAAGGTTTGTAAAATGAATGTTGCCTTTTTATCTCCTTCTGTTTGCCCATAGGGTTCCTACCCAAAGTTATTAATGATCAGTTTTCAATTAACAGTGCAACATAGACCATAAATTATAATACCTAAAACTAATCTTTTTAGCAATCTGAATTGATATTTTCTGATTTTCATAAAGAAAACATGGAATAACTAATATAAAAAAGGACTATTATATATTTACCTTTTAATGGTCTTGAAACTTGACATTTAAACTGTGGAAGAGCTAATTGTAAGATCCATTGAGGAAAACTAAGAAAGAGTTTCTTTTGCTCACTTACCCATCTCCTTTATCTGTTTTGTAAGGTAAACTTAGATGGTAAAAAATAGGCATTGTTAATAAGTTTTAAAAAGAACTTGTTATAATGTTTAAAAATATACTTGATAAACCAGTGGATAACTATAATCCAGGGATATCCCCTTGAGCAGTTGCCATGGAAGAAATTACATGAGATTTCGAAAGAAGAAGTAGATCAAAACCAAGGCTTCTGTTCTTCAATTCAAAATGTCATTGGCCTACCCAGCTACTCTCATTCATTTGTCTTGATTTCCGTTATAAGCATAGAAAAGGCCACAAAAATAACCTGATTCTTTGACAGGATAGTCAGAGTGACCAATTTGAATGTCATTAACAGATGTTTTCTTGACCATATGCTGTGTATAAAAAAGTATGAAGATATTCCTTAGGGGATGTATGAATGCAAATACAAATTACTACTGCAAATCAATGTAAATATTAAGTGCTATTCCTGGAAAAAAAAGTTGTTAAGTGCCATCAAATTATGGTGACCCTATGGAGGGCCAACCTAAACCCTTCCCTGTCCTGTGCCGTCCTCATCATCTCTGACACACTGAAGTCCCCGTGTCAGTCCATCTCATGGGGGGTCTTTCTCTCCTTGTCAGACCCTCCATCTTTCCAAGCGTCATATCCCTCTCCAAGCAATAGCCTCACCTAGCTATATGTCCACAAAGTATGAAAAATGAAGCTTCATCTAGCAAAATAATACACTGATGCTTCCATGGTTTCAAAACCCAAGAAGTGGATTGAAGGAATGCTTTTCAGGGTGGGTTGTGGGGACCTGGGGGGCAGCTTGAAGGGGAAACACTAAGAAAATTTTGAGGGAGCAGATCTTGAGAGTCACAGTGTTAAGTTAGCACTTGAAACCAAGGCTGTGTGAATGCTTTAGATACCTAAAGGCTAGGGCTTAAAGTCTGTGTAAGCAATTAGGAATGGATCTTGAATCCATATAAACTTGGAATCTGAGACCATGAGACAGGGCTTTCCATATTTCGTAGAAAATAAATATCCCACCTAACGTGGATTTTAAATTAAAGAGAATTCTTTATGAGAATCCAATGAGGAGAGATTAGGCACTAGAGGCAGATATCAGGTTTGATGAAGCAGAGGGCTAGTGAAGGAATACAGCACCTGTGATGAGAGGAATTGGCAAAAAAGCTATAATAATAGACATATACATGGTGATAATTGTGAGGATGGTGCCAGACTAGGCAACATTTAGCTCTGTTGTACCTAACAAGGTCATGTTGAGTCAGAGTAAACAGTAGATAAACAGCTGGTGCGTGTATTCTCCAGATATGTAACCACTAAATATACAAGGACTCTCACATACGTCATCTTAAATGGCCACATGCTTATCCCACCATCTAAGTGTTAGGCTGTTATCCAAATTATATGGACATAAAGTACCTGTGCTAGTGGATGTTTGCTCTGTATCACTTGCTCTAGCCGATGTGGTAGATGCTGATGATGTGATGCTGCCATGAGTACTCTTGTTCAGGCACTGGGCAGAAGAGTCCTGCTTCCACAGGAAGTTCAACCGAAGTGCCACAGCAAACCCTGTCACCCTAAGTGCCCACAAGCACACGGTACAGTGCATGTGAAAGCAACAGCTGCTTTAATGGTCATCACAGATGAGAGTTCAGCTGACCAATTATAAATAATATTATCATCCATGGTATAATAAGCCCAAACTGTTAGAAAAAGGAAATATGTACTTTTTTTTTTGGTCCATTATAGTCCTCTTCTTGTTCATCTTCACAAGGTAAGATTCATCCAGTTCCTTCATATGATTTCTGCTCTGCCTTCAGAGCTTCTTTTCTCTTTGCGTAACCAGAGTCTAGACCTGCAAATTAAGTGTTTTATGCTAATGGAAGGTATACACTATATCCTAAATAAGTTAGTCTACTCTACCAGACAAGTTCATTTTCCTAATAAAGTGACAGCTCTTGGGCAGTTGGGAGGATCCTTTAAGTTGACTCATTATCAAGTCAGAGCTGACTCATAGCTGACCCTGAAGTGGGGTTTTGGAGGCTGTAAATCACACAGGAAGAGACTATTCAGCTTTCTCCCACATCAGTTAAGGGGAGGGGGGATACCAATATAATCAGAGACGTTGCAAGCAGTTCTGAAAGACTATTTCCCTTTCCTGTGTCTGACTGGAAATCTTTCCTTGAGGCTGTATAGAATTGCTTCAGATTGTCACCCATGGGCTGTTGTACTCTCCTCTTTCTATTCTTCATTTGTTGTTGTTATGTCAGGTGGGAACTAACTCATAGTTGACCCAGGGCTTTCAGAGGGAGTCAGTTGCACAGGAGATTGCCCATCTTTCTCCTCATGGAGCAAATGGTGGATTCGAACAGCATGCCTTTGGTTTGGCAGCACAACCCCTTACCACTGAGCCACCAGAGCCCTTAGTCTTCATATACTGCCCTAATATATTTTAACTGATTTTCCCATTTGCCGTTAATCCAATTCTCAGGTGTTTTATCAGCTGCCGTTTTTGAATTAGGGATATTGTTGCTGATGTTAGATGGATCTTGGCTGAAAGCAAGGAATACCAGAAGAATGTCTTTCTGTGTTTCATTGATTATGCAAAGGCATTTTGACTGTGTGGATCATAACAAACTGTGGCTGACTCTGAGAAGAATGGGAATTCCAGAACATTTGATTATGCTTATGCAAAACATATACTTGGATCAAGAGGCAGTCTTCAGAACAGAGCAAGGAGATACTGCATGGTTCAAAATTGGGAAGGGTGTACGCCAGGGATGAATCCTGTCTTCATATCTTTTCAACATGTATGCAGAGCAGATTATCCGAGAGGCTGGGCTCTATGAGGAGAATTGTGGCATCAGGATTGGTGGAAGATCTATTAACAATCTGCGTTATGCAGACGACACAACCCTGCTTGCTGAAACTGAGGAGGACCTCATGCACTTGCTGTGGAGGGTCAAGGACTGCAGCCTTCAGTATGGACTGAGGCTCAATGTCAAGAAGACAAAGATTCTCACCACTGGACCAATTGGCAGCGTCAGGAGGGATGGCGAAGAGATTGAGATTGTTCACAACTTCACTTTGCTCGGCTCCACAGTCAACACTCTTGGTGCCAGCAGTCAGGAAATCAAAAAGCGTATCGCGATGGGAAAGTCTGCTGTTAGGGACCTCTCTAAAGTACTCAGGAGCAACAGTGTCTCTCTGGAGACTAAGGTGCGCCTGATACAGGCCACGGTCTTTGCAATCGCTTGTTATGCATCAGAGAGTTGGACAATGACTAGGGAGGACAGAAGGAGAGTGGATGCCTTTAAGCTGTGGTGCTGGAGAAGAGTACTGAATGTACCATGGACTGCCAGGAAAACAAACAGATTCATCTTGGAGAGGATTAAACCAAGCTACTCCTTGGAGGCAAGGATTCTGGGGCTTCGTCTGACATACCTTGGACATGTTGCCAGGAGGGACGGGTCCTTGGAGAGGGACATCATGCTTGGGAGGGTAGAGGGACAGCGCAGGAGGGGAAGACCCTCTATGAGATGGATTGATTTGGTGACTGGGGTAATCGGGATGGGTGTGTCAGAGGCAGTGCGGTTGGCGCAGGATAGAGCAGGGTTTAGGGCTGTTGTGCATAGGGTCGCTATGAGTCGCAAACGACTCGATGGCACATACAACACAACAACATTCTATTCCGGTTACAGTCAGCTGTAAGGAGAATTTAAATATTCATTTGTATGCCCATATCACTTCTTTAATATTGAATATATTTGGTAAAAGGAATTTCCTAGTTAATATCAACAGTTTCAGGATTTGTATATGTTGCACACAATTCTTCCAACATTTTATATTGTACTACACTTGATCTTAGCCAAGAGGCCGAGAAGCGATAAACACCAACCTCAGGTTTTGGGGTTTTTATTATTTTCTGTGTGTGTACCATCAGATTGGATCTGACTGGTACAGGAGGAGATGGTCCCTCCTTCTCTGGCAGAGCTTCTGGTGGATTCGAACCACTTATCTCTGGAATTGCAGTGCAGCTTCTTGCCACTAGGCCACCAGAGCTCCCTATATTGTACTTTGACAAGTCACTATTGCAAAAGTAAATGCAAAGCATTGCCCTGGTTATGTATCTAAGGCAGTAATAGCGTTTATTGGGTTGGGTTTTATTTTCATCAAAACTCATAATTCAAGCTC